AGGCTTTAGTGATGTTTTAAGAGGGACGCTGTTGTCCATCCCTCGTCCTCCCTTAGTCGCCTCTTACGACACGCACAGGAAAGGAAGGGGCGGCCTATTCTATATAGCGGGAGCACATGGCGAGTTAGTTATATTAGTGATACTGCCCGGACATGAGCAGCGCGCATGCAACTGCCTGCCTTATGAGTTTGAGCTGCTTGTAACAGTGGGTGGTACGTAATAAAACAACACTATTTAATATTACAAATGACTATAATTTTGTCACAATTTTTCCATACAGTGTTAATAACTTTTTACCTTACCGCTATTTATAATACATTACTTAACCATTATTAATGTTGTATTTCATTTAAAATTTTCCTGTTTAATATCTAATTACATTCCACGGAGTCACTTTCAGATGAGACATTAAAATTTAAATAAACCAAGGGCCGTACAAAGTTTAGAAACGAATTCGACAACGACCTCAAACACTTCATTTATGTTACACTAAAATGTAATTCGATTAGATCTTATTATACTAAAAATATTTTTTGCTTAGTCCACTACGAGAATATCGTTAAAACTGTACAAACATTATTAACTTTAAAGTTACCGCTAGCGTAAATATTAAACGGACACACGAACCGAACCGAACCGAACCGAACTGAACTGAACCGAACCGAACCGATCTCGGCCTCGGCCTCGCTCGGAGAACACGCGACAGCGCTCAACAGTGACAATAGTGTATAATCATTCATTAATTAATTAATAATAGATTAAGGTAAGTATAATATAATAAATTGTACTTTGTAACGCGCCACGCGGACGCGCGCCGCCGGGGCGCTGACGCTAGCTAGCATTACACGCAACTACGCTGTCACTTTACACACTTTGTACAAAACTGCTCCACATAACGGTAAAACTCTAAACTGGCGGTAGATATTATTAAAAGACGTATTGAATATGTGACGGATGTGTTGTGAATAATTTTACATTGATAAAAATAAACTTACGGAAAGGATAGAATTACATTGCAATTCTAAAATAAAAACCTAATGGAGACAATACTGGTGAAGTGTAACAGTTTTGTATAAAGTGAGTTTTATTATAAGTTTCGCGTATCTACCATGGAGAAATCGAAGACATTACCATACTTTTATGAGAGCGAAATCTATCAGTGAAACGTAACATTATCAGTAAAGTAACATGGGTCGAAAGAGGTCTAAAACATTTCACTCTCCCATACGAATTTGACAGACAGAGAGGTGTGGTAGATATCTATAAAGTGTGCTCTACCAGACATTGATGGCGAGATAAAGGTCATTACACATTTCGATAGGTTCCTTCAGTTTAATATATTCTGGATAACCGATATGGGTATTGGGCCAATATACAGATACTGTAACTACAATATATATATATATATATATATATATATATATATATATATATATATATATATATATATATATATATATATATATATATATATATATATATATATATATATATATATATATATAGTTTTAGTCATACTTGGACCCATATTTCTTTAAGGAACTTTCACTGACAGAAATACTTTATTAAAAGTGATGCTAATATTTCCGATGCCACCCTGTATAGCCCAACTAATACAAGGCCGACGGCCCGGCCGCCGCGTCGTCCGCTTCGAAATAAGCACCGTAATGAAATGCGAGTCGTTTGAGTACTGCGGCCACGGGTCGCCTTGGCTGTGCGTGTACTTTATTTATTTATATGGAGACAATATCATTATTTAGTTTGCTTTAGAGATGATAAACATCAAAATGTACAATATTCCCTTATTTATTATATTATCCGCTAGCTTAGTGTAATTAAGGTTTAAGCCTACACCCACGTCAGTACTGATCAGACAGCCAAGGCCGGAAACAACTATTAACGGCATACATAACAAGCAAGTACAAATATATCATAATAATAATAATAATTAAGTATCAATAAAATTGAGCTAACTTCTCCGTCACCTGTCAGTCGCCGTTACACAATCTTACAAAAGGTTCGACACACGCTTGCATCTATAAATTGTAATCAAATTGCAAACATATGCAATCCCCCAGTTAAGGCCGTGCACGCGGACATGTTTGCCGATACGCAACGTCAACACATAGTGATACAGTCAGGCGGTCAATATCGATATCGGCGCAAACTGTAGCCGCGTGTACACGCCTTAACACGATCCGCTGAGCGAAAGTGCTGCCGCCAACAAATCACTCGAATTATATGTTTAAAAATTATATGATAATCTAAATTTGAAATACGTAGGAGTCGATCCACTTTCAACGGCACGTGTTACTCAGTTCACTGAGCAATGTGACGTGTTCGAATCACGCTTGGAATATAATTAAATAATAACACGAGATCTAAATCTGCAAGAGTGTTTATTGATAGATTAACAAAATTGAACACTGAAATATCTCATTTGAAATCTTTAAAAATGTCATCCAAAGTGTTCAATAATGCTTAAATGTCATTTAACAATAGTTTATAATCAATCAGACAGTTAAAAAGTAGGCGGCAGCACTGGTCGCTAGTGGCGAACCCTAAATCACTAAAGGATAAAACAAAACACGCTGATAATATAACCAGAGAGGCGTATATATGTCGAGTAGACGGCGCATTCGCATACGGTATCACGTAAATTTAATCCGAATAGAGAGGCGAGAACTCGTAAATGTTCATGACATCTTTATTATTGCTTTCAATCGAGACTAATCGTAACGTTATTGCTTTGAGCTCCTGCATATGTATGTTTTGGCACGACAATACTGCTATATAAACGATAACCGAGGTGCAGCAGACGGAGCGGGTGTTGGGGAGGAGGGGAGTAGGTGTATGAGGGGGAGGCGGGGGAGGGGGGGGGGGGGGCAAGCGACACTAATTCACAACCAAGCGTCGCGCACGCGCGCGAGTTACATACGAACCTAGTGACTACAACGTCCGCACAAGTTGGCGCACTGATCGACACGTGAATCCGTTGTAAGCAGCGGCAAACTTGTGCGGAGGTTCAGCTGTTGAGACATCAGTGCGGGCCCGTGAGTCGTGCAACTATAATTTTAGTTGATCATTATGGATTTTTACACTTGTCATGAGAATGCGTTGATTTAAATAATGTGCATTTTTATAGTAGGATGTAATGTAGCCCCATAAACAAAATACATAATTATTTCTGGGATATAGCTTTCTTATGGTGTATGTAACAACACCAGACCCCAGCAAATATAGGGACTGCATAATACAAGATGAAATAATGGCTCTCACCAAATGTTTTTTAAAACTACGTTTTGAGGAATTTGTCAGCTATAGGAATTACAACCATATCTCAGTAGCATTAGAGTTCTTTTTCTAATAGTGTTATCACAAATATGAATGTACTTGTTTAACGGGATAGTTTACGTTAGCGGATGTATATGTACGCGTCACTGATGTCGGCGAAAAATGTTTAAATACTATTTATAAATTGCAAATCAATACGAGATGTAACAACACTAGGAAATCCGAATTGACACGTAGTAAATCTATTTTGTTGATAGCTCATATGTTACTAAATAAATTTATAATGTCACTTTCCAATTTACATTAACTCCCTTCAATTGTACTACACGAGAACTAGAGCAACGAAATGACAAATGTAGAAAAACAAATCGCATAACAATTGTACTAAGATATAATGTTACAGAGAGGATTTATATAATTTCATCATGTATTGCCACGAGTGTGAATGAATTATACAAAAATATACATACTATACAAATAGTTGAGCGACTCAATGCATGCACCGGTCGACCTAGCAGAGGGCGGTGCGACTGCGACGCGGGCCGCGGCAGCGACCGCGGGCTGCTTACACACAGAGGACACTAACACTAACTCGTTGATAGAGACTTACACTAACAGCTAAGATTTAGTCCAGCGCGACCCATCTACTTATCATTATGCACCTGATAGGAAAGTCGAAAGTCACTCGAGTTTGCCGAACGGTTCAGTACTAACGACGTCATTATACACGACCTAGTAAAATATAACAATAATAATAATAATAAAGACAGAACACTACTCTTCCGACATTGCACTCGGTTGCAGCAAGGAATCCGCCATTGCACGCAAACAGAGGACGCATGCAACGACACACAGCTACGCAAGAATTAAATATACTCATATACAAAAGACGCGACCGTCGAAGTCAATTTGTGCTCGAGCCACTAGCGCTACACTTGTGTGAGGATGCAGTCTTATGTTTATACATTAATAGAGGGGAAAACAGTTCACAAATAATACGCAAAACGATCGTAATAAGAGATTCCCTAGAATACACAGCAATACAAAACATTCAGACAGCGACTGGCCGAAATATTCTCAAAGTCACAGAAGAAAATAAAAAAAAACTATTATGTGAGAGAAAGCTCCATCTATTGCTCGCCCGTGGAACAGAAACACACTTGACTTCTGTCAAATCGTTTACTATAAAAAATATATCTTTACATTATCATACCACATAGTGTCCGCTAGCTGTATAAATTCCAAGTGTGCTTTGTTCTACAGGTGAAAACTAAGTGTGGAAAACAAATAAGCAGAGAAGGAAACAAGATATTTTGTTCACTTTATCCTAAAAATTCATACTCGTTGTGTTGAAATCAGACATTCGACGGTCGTCATGCAGAATGTACGTGTAAAACAGTATATCTGATAATGTAATTAGATTACGGGCGCGACGAGAGGCGGCGCTCGGCGCGAGTCGCGTGTACGGGCAAACGCAATGTGCAAACAGCTCTAGTACTCTGTCCTAGCGATTGCAACATATATATATGAAAAAGGATAATAAAAAAAATCAATATGTGTATGAAAAGGCCGTCTAGCCATGTTGCCGGCAACAATAATTATCACACGGAGGTAACTGACGAGAGGTTCGGCAATCACGACATTTATTAGTTTTGAATGTGTGGTGGGAAGGTATTATCAGTAATGGACATACTAACTAGTAACCTGTCAAGTCGACCTCCACGCGGTCCCCCTAGATATCATCGCGATAAATTTTTCTTAAATCCCCCATGACGGGCACATTGATGTGGCTTCGCGTTCATAATGAACCTCCACCAGTGCCCTACCATTGTATACTATTATTAGCATGGGTAGGGACACCATTAAATTACTATCGATTAAAAGTAGTACTAGAGCGTTTGCACTCCGCGTGTACGTATTGGCCGGCCGCGGCCGCCGCCCGCGCGCCCCCTAGCACCGGACTCCATTACGGCGGCGTGTGTAGGCCTTTACTTCGATCAGCGTTCACGATTTCCAGCTAACACTCGATGCTGGCAATGCTCATCTATCTAGAACAGTCATATCTAGCTGTATCAATGGTTACGCCAGTCTCGCATAAGATATAATAAAATAAAAACTTACATAAATTTTTAATCCCTCTATCCCCTTTTATTTTGGGGATACCGTAAGGGATGGTTTAAGGAACAAAGCACTGAACAGTGCAGGACTAGGGTAACTCGAATAAAGAAATTTCATTTCATTTAAAATCTTCAAAATATATTGCCGCGATGTATAATATAAATAATTGTATACTGAAATTCATTTATTTATTAATTTACAAGAAACATGATCCATTTGTACACAGTAAGCCAGTGTATTGGGCAAGCCCTTTAGACAAGTGACAAGCGAATTTGTCGATGGAAACGACATCGCTAGCGAGTCCTTGAGACAGAATAAGTTAGCAACGCCGGACGACTCATTCCAACGCACGGACTGGCTAACGATGTCGATTCCATCGACGAATTCGCTTGCCACTTGTCTAGAGGGCCTGGTTTGACTCTTAACCGCTTGATGTTTCTTCCCACACTTTAACTTTGTATGTGTTCGTAAATAAAAAATATAGCTAGAATATAACTGTTGGAAAGAGACGAATATATTACATCAATTGAGACTACAGCGCTTGGAGAATCATTTAGATCGCATTGTATCGCGCGGCCTCCACTCGTTTAGTTACTTTAAATAAAACTTCATTATTTGTATAACTTATACATATTGGTGTTTTATATTGATAACTAGTTGATGACTGCGACGTCGCCCGCCATTTTTTAATTCACGATGACGTCACACTTCGTGATCATCCTCACGTTTTAAATTTAAATAATTTTTTATTGATTTTTATTTTTTATATTAGGATACCAACTAAAAAGTCCATATTTAAGATTTTGTTAACAGCTTAAATGCTAAAACAATTATAGAAAATATGACGCTGTTATTAAAAATGCAATGTTACTTGAATAGTGGTATCACTGTCTCTTTTAGATAGATATGTCCCATTGTAACTATATTCATGAATTACAAAACTAGGGCATATACAGTACAAGCCTCGTGAAAGGATTCCAAAATCTTTCATTAGTGTTAAAAACACGTATATAACAGCCCTGGAGTCACAAAGTATCATACTAAACAATGGACGATGTCACAGGCAACGACTAGTTTTAAAATATAGTAAATATTCTTGTAATAGTCTGCTTGGAAACTTATACTTACAACATTTAAGTACATACAACGATTAAGCACAAGTATTCGAGTGTTCAGATAGTGTGTATCACAGACAAAAGGAAAACTAATGTTAAAAAGTTGAACAGTAGGCGTGGCACGCGGCAAACAACTTGAACATAATCATAGACAAAGTCTATATCAGTCTTGCGCAGTCTTTGCACAGTACAGTAACAAAATCCGATGAGCGTTATTACATTATTTGAAAATTAGACTCTATTGCACTTGATTTAGGGACTAAAATTGCCAAGCAATGTCCATACAATCGTGGGATCTATTAAAACACATGTATGCCCGCCCTCATGTCTAGTACAGCGCAAGTGATGTTCAAGTCACTCCCCGGCAGCGACACCACTGACTAGGTGCGACACGCGCGCAATTTGATTACATTGTGGTACACAATATACGAATACATACACGATTGTGTTTTGTACAAAAGCAAAAATATAGAAATAAGTGTATTTAAATAAAAAAATAATAATAATATCAAAAAAGCGTAATAAAGCACTCATTATATACACACGCAAGTGTCATTGTAACTAGTGTCGAGGTGTGTCGCGCGACTCGCCACCCGTTACTAGCAACACTGAGAAGTTTACAACCAAATTGAGATAACACTGGAAACACCAACTCGAATTTAAGGTAGGGGCCCAGTTACTGTACAGTAATGAAAAAGTATCAAGAAAGTATCAGAATTATGAGAAAAATAGAATATAATTAAATTACTAAGTCGTTTATTACCATATGCTGTATACAGGGCCGTAGCTAGACCCAAGTTTAAGGTAGGGCCAAAGAACTTTTCGGTAGGGTAGAAGCTATAATTAAGTGACTTAAAAAAGCGAATCTGTCTAATTTACTTGATATCTTTCATTTTAGTGTAGGGCAATGGGCCTTTTAAGATAGGACACTGCCCCCCCCCCCCCCGCCCCTAGCTACGGCCATGACTGTATAACAAAGAAAGTAATAGTAAAACTCAATAATGACAAAATACAGGTAAGAGCGACTTGTAGAGATTGGAAACAATGGTGGGTGGTTACCTTTTGTTTAGCATCTACCCCAATAGAAGTAGTCAAGAGTTGCTTATAGAAAAAGATGGTTAAATGGGTTCATTATATTCTATCTCACTTAAACATAGCAATAAAACAAACCTGACGAGTATCAAAATAAAATTCAGTGAATACAACTACGTTGGTGTTGAGTGAAATCTCCATATGATTTTAAACTTCTTGACTTTAGCACTTCCAGTGTTATTAAACAAACACAGTTGATTGCCAAATTAAATACTAACTTAGGTAACTAAATATAAACTGTACGATCCTCTTATAAAAACGTTACGTTCATCATCGTAAGTTACACTACACACATTTGTCTGTACTTAGTCCACATTTTGTAGCGTTGATATACCGTTTAAAGTATAATACATTATCGAATTAAGTATACAGGTAAAAATAAAATAACTGCTGGTTTGAGTTTATACAGCGCTCACTGCATTAAACTTATTCATATTTATTTTACATATTTGCTAATAGATGTCACTGTTGGACTACATGAATAATAACATACTAGAAATGTTATAAGTAGGGATTCCCAAAGAGGGTTGACCTCAAGCAGGCGGCCGGTCGTAAAACTAAGCCAAATTTTTTTGATAAAAAACATTACGCCGACCTCTTATAATAATTGGGATAAGGGTAGGAAGAAGTTATTTATATTTGCTCTACAAATCGCAAAGCCGGCTCCACATGGAGTATTGCTGTCACTAATAGACCTTGGAATCGAACTTAGGAGTGACATAGAGATGGTAACGTTGATATAAGCTGACGGTACACGCTGGTGTCGCGGGCGGCGAAGTGCGCGACCACTATTTAATTATAAAAGTACAACCAACGGTCTCTGATAGCTAACTACGTGTACTGCGATATATAGTAATAAGTCAACTGCGATCGAAAAAGCTACAGTAACGACGTACCGCCATAACGTAGCATCAGCTGATAAAACAAACTAGAGTCAGCAAAATAGATATTAAAAAAAATAAATTTAACATCAGAAATTTCAGTTGTCTTGCAAACCGTACTCTTCACACAGTAGACCTGTCGAGGTAAACATCCTTGCTATTCATGTTTAGAGCGCACAGTATATGCGTTTCGTTAGCTGCCCGAGAGCGTTCAGTTACTCCGTGCGAATATGTCCCCTGCCCACATAGATCCCATGATGCAGATCCGTTGGGAAAATTCATATTTTTAATTCTTGCATTGAGAAATTACGATTCTCTTAAGACAGTTCGTTTCTTTAAGAGAGTGTAGTTGCTCTAGCAGATTGTGGCTTATGTATTCTTGTCTGTAGTTTTGTTTAATTTTATACAATTATTCTATTTATAATGTGTAATACAAAAAAAAATCAAATTTCCATTTAACAAGAGCTATTGTTATTTTTATTTATGGTGCAATAAAGAGTTAAATAAATAAATAAATATTGTCGAGTTTTTCTTGTTCATTATTCTCGACTGAAAAAACTTTCCGAATTACGCAGTACAATAAAAATATATATAGTCTAATTCGGATATCTCTACTCTCTTCACCAACGTACTATGTAATCATAAAAAATACTATTCCTTTTGAGGATCTGGATTAGGGGACCCAAGTGGACATTAGCCAACAATGTCAGTACAGTAACACTAAACACAACTGCGCGAGGCTAGCGCACGCGGCGCACACAAAATATATAATAATAAATATAAAATAATATATCTTAAGCAATCTTAAATACCCTGTTGATATCATTTTTAGAAATTAAAATTTCTTCATTTAAAATGTCAAAAAAAAAAAAAAGAAAAATAAATAAGTAATAATATAATGCGACGATGCACACATAATTGCCGCGTCACACGGACTAAGAAGGTTCGAGAACAATAATATAAACACTTTCAAAACGTTGGTACTCTGTTGCACACACACACACACACGCACGCGCACGCACGCACACGCACGCACACGCACGCGCACGCGCACTGTGCAATGTAAGTGAGAGTATTTGTGCGCGATATAAGCATAGAAATCATTAATTATCACACGAATATTAAAAGTCTAACGTAGAACAACACACAGACACTCCCATTTACACGTGGACGACGTCTGCGCTGCCACGCGCGCCGTATCGCGTAACTAGGCTTCGATTCGTATTCGAGATTCCTGATTGCCGAAGCAGTTACGCGAATACCATTAGCCACATCAGTTTCAACGAGTCCATCGTCACCTGTACACGATTACATTTATTGATTGAGATTTAATAAATAAATAATAAAACCGTGGCATGGACTCGTTACGCCGTGTGACGTCACGCCGTAACGCGCGCACGTCGTAATATGTTCATGTGTGCACCGCACCAGCGAGCGTGCCGTGACGTCACGCGACGTGGCGTGACGTCACGCGACGCCGCGCCGCTGAGCACGAGCGACCGATCGACGAGAGCGACCCTCCGCGGCGACATTCCATCTACTATATAAATTCTTTCGAGTAAACCTATCATTAACGTATATGTCTTTATTACGTATGTTATTTCGTTTTAGCCTAGACTTAAGATTTGTTTTCATTGTTTGTGCAAAGGAAACATTTCACTAATTTAAGATTTTTTTTTGTACAAGATTCTTTATAGAGCGTCCCGGAGCGATGCTGCTTCGGAGACAATAGTCCTCGGTGCACACCGACCAAATACTACAATCGAGGACCTCTACATGTGGACTGTACACGAGCCGACCTCTAAATACCATCAAAAGTGGAAATAAAACTTTAACAACATACAAAAAGACTTAAGAGATAAGATTGCGTGGAGCGCGGCGGTACGCACACGCACGCACACGCACACGCACACGCACGCGTCCGCGGACAACGAAACAACGAACCCATGAGCACCCTATATAAATATTATGCATTAACTTACAACGTAAAGTAAACAGTCACTCGGTACAACAAATTGCCACAAAGCTAAATAATAACTACGATTTCAGTTCACCGAATTGCTCAACCACCACTTAAGTAATATCCACTGATAATGTATCCGTATTGATATTTTAGTTATTATTTAGCGTCGAGTAAGTAGCCTTACAATAAAATGGCGCGTGTATAATAAAATATAGGTTATAATCTTATGTAAAATTATGCTATTCACTAGCGATCCGAAGCTATGTAACTGATCGGTAACATTTAGTCAAATGCAAAGGTGTCCCATGGCAATAGTTAGCGGCCATCGACCTCCGGCGGCGCGGAGCTAGTATTACCCGCCACTCAGTCCCGTACTCACATATACAGACACGAAGGTCAATGACCGCTATGACAAAATGGCCGCCTCGGTGCGACTGTAAAAATATAGTTATCGTGTATAAAAAATGCTAAAATTCAATTATAAATAGTGCCACCGTTCCATGTGACGTGTAAGTAAGTAAAACCTAAACAAAGTATACAACACATATCTCATAGGCCGTTCTTGTGACTTAGATAAAATTATGTACCATTCGGGCGATTTGCGTGGGAGCCAGAGCTGGCGAGTGGGCGCGAGCCGTTAATTTTTATCAATTTGACTAGCCGACACGAATTAGTAAGTGACTAGAACGCGAAACACTCCACTGGCAAGATTTCGAACGACGACTGCGACGCGATCCCTCGAGCCGGATCGCGCGCCTATTCCGAACACAGCATTTTCGTATGGCAACAAAAATGGCCATTCACTATAAATATTAGACGACACCGAAGATCACAGACATTCCGAATAAATTAAGCGCGGCCCGCCGCGCGGCCCGCAGCCCACCAAATGCGCCCGCGCACTAAAACTAAACAAGATCACTCGCAACTACGCCGGCTCGCCCGCCGCTCGGCCGAGCCGCTGGCCGCCAGCTACTGGCCGCCAGCTGCTGGCGCAGCCGCCGCAGCGCGCGGGCCGGCCTCACACGTCGCGGACCGACCGCGAGACTACCTGCGGTGCACCTAGCGATTAGTCAAACAAACGTGTGATGGACCGAAACGGAATACGTACAATATTTACAAATAAACCCTACAAATTAAGCTCCTCAGTTGAAAAAGATTAAATTACATCACTAACGATCGCTCTACACCAGTCGCAGTGACCCGTCCGCCGCTCGAGTGGGCAGTTCAGTCCAATTGGCTACTTACACTAGGAGCCGCGAGGTGGCGTGGCGGTGGTGGGGGAGCCACTAACAGAAGCCGCCGAAGCCGACGGAGGGCACGGAGGGCACGGCGGGGACGGGCGCCTCGCCGTTCTTGTGCAGGTCGATGAGCGGCGGCGCCGACAGGTAGTGCGGCTGCAACACGACACGCACCAACTATATACACTGCCACGGTAACGTATGATTGAAAGCTGGCAAGTAAAAGGCGAAAGAAAAATATCGTATAGCATTTCAGTCGAAAAAAGAGAATATGGATGATGGATTTCGTTGGGGCAAGTCGTACTGCAGTCTCGAAAGTACTGTTCATATTAGTCAGCAATGTTACCATCACTTCAAGCGATAGACGACGATGACAATTTAACAGAGTCGTCATTATCTAGACAGTCGGAGCCGCGAGGGGCGGCACGTCTTAGTGCTTAGTTGGTGTAAAGCGCAAAATATGACAGGTGCAGTATAGAGAGTGGAGAGTGGAGAGTGGCGGGCAGCGTGCAGCGTGCAGTACCTGCTGGTGGTGCGCGGGCGGCGGCGCGCCGTAGCCGTTGTAGTAGCCGTTGTAGGGCGCGTAGGAGGCGGGCACGCCGGCCGGGTAGCCGTACTGCCACTCGGACAGGTAGCCGGGCGTGGGCCGCATCACGGCCGTGCCCCAGCCGCCGCCGTAGCCCACGAACGGCGCGCCGTACCTGCACGACACACGCTCACATTCGGGACTGGCACAAGACTATCCAATAAACTGTGTATGCTAACTTTAATAATCCTGTTCCAGAGACTAAATTACGAATGCGTTTAAATGGCAACTGCAAAAAGGAAACGGCTATATAAGAAGTAGTTATTAAAGTGTGTGTCGGGTGTCGGGTGTCGGGTGTCGGGTGTCGGGTGTCGGGTGCGGAGTGTACGAGGATGGCGTATGATGGTGGCGGTGGTGTCGCACCCGTTGTTGCCGTAGGCGGCGCCGCCGTAGGCGCCGTAGGGCGCGTAGAGCGCGGGCGCGTAGTCGGGCAGCGCGGGCGCGGGCGCGGCCGCCAGCTCGGCCGGCGCCGCGCCGCCGCCGCCGCCGCCGCCGCCGCCGCCCGGGCCCTCCGCGATGGACGGGATCTGGTCCACCAGCGACTCCAGCCCCGACAGCGACTTGGACGCCACGTCCTGCGACTTGGGCTTCGCGGCGCCGGCGAACTCGGCTGGCGATGCAGGCGCGTGGTGCTCGGCCGGCCGGAACGCGGGCGCCGGCAGCGGCGAGAACGGGCCCTCGCCGCCGCCCGCCGCGCCGCCGCCGCCGCCGCCGCCGCCGGGGGGCGTCGACCTGCCGCCACGCCACATCGTTACACTCAGCCCTATGCTTCACATTACAATATAATCTAGGACAGTTTCTCCATACAAATACTTCGTAAAAGACGAGTAACTTTTTTTATACATGTGTGGCAGACGAGCTGACCGCCCACTTGACGAAAAGTGGTAACCGTCGCCTATAGTCATAAACAGTACCATGGACATAACAGAGTATTCTGTTTCGCCCATGAAACTCTCCATGCGTTGTCATTCCTGAGGAGTAAGGTATAATGCCTCTGTACCCTGTCATTATTAGTACATTACTGCAGCGGCCAGCAACTGAGGCATTGTTGGACGACCGTGCAAATGTGGACTGAGACGCAGCCGAGGCACACATACCGTGAATCCATCTGTACCTGGTTGTGGCCAAGGCTTGTTTAGTACTTTTCTCAAACAATGCGCGGAAATCAAAAACACAATTTTACTTTTTAATATCGAATAACGAACAATAATAATTTTCCACGCGTCATATTGTTCCTTTGGTTTTTTTTTTTTTTCAATAAACAACTTTCTATTTGCAAGCCAGTTCGAAATTTAAATAGTTACTTCCTTGGTAGCCATGTTTCGAAATAAAAGGTCATTCCATTTTTAAATTACAGAACAGATATGAATATACATAGTAATTTATCTGGCCAGTACGGCAATTTTGATTTATCTCGTAGAAGCTTGTCAAAATAATGCTCACATTTCCAAGCATGTTTGAGAAAAAAATGTAAATCAAGAAATAACAATGTAATAAATAAATATTGTATAATTAAAAAATATAAAACATTCTAAAAAATCCCACAGATGTACAGGTATAATTTGCATATACAGATGGTTGAAAAAATAATAGGAATGCAACTGACCTGTTGAAATTGCTAGGATACATGGAGGGATGCTGATGTAGCTGGTCTAACCGTGGACTCTCCGCCACACCGTTACCTGGAACATATTACAATCATTGTTATGCAAATTGTAATGAAATATTTTATTAAACTAGGTGTTAATCTTGCAAAAGTCTTATAGTACTAGGCTCCCAGTAGCGATCTAATAAATTGCTTGAAGATGGTTCGTTTAGAGGTGGAACACGTCTTGCAAAACGCGCGTGAACAAAATGGTAGTCGGACGATTTGACGGCTAATATGGAAGATTGTGGTACTTCTGGTAGTAACAGTGGTGGTCAATCCTCGAGTGTTGGCAGTCACACACACATACTAACGGTAGCGGAAATAAACAAAATAATTACAATCCAATAACCAGTATTATGAAATGTTTAAAAAATTGTTTAAAAAGCTATTTAAATTATTTAAATATTGTATTTTATTAAGATAATGTATGTACGAGGGTCATTTGAAAAGTTCCTAGCCTAACATGGTTACAGTCATTGGTTTTTTTTAGAACTACCCTCATTTTGTAGTTACATTTTTTAGCAACAAGTATGCACAGTTTAGTTTATTCACAGTAACTCATTGTTCGTTTACACGTGATACCGTAAGTCAAGTCGGAGCTATTTTTGAAAATGGATAAAATTGAACATCGTGCAGTGATAAAATATCTGAATTTGAAAGGTTTAACTCCAAAAGCTATACATGAAGACATGTCTGCTACTTTGGGTGAGTCCGCTCCTTCATATCCGACTGTTAAAAGTGTTATGAGCTCGGAGGAGAGTATGTTGAAAAATAAGAATAAACTCAAAATCGTGTGGTTTCATTATGTATGTTAGGCTAAGAACTTTTCAAATGACCCTCGTACATGTTATAATTTGATTATTGACAATTAACGTTTTATTCTACATTAAATCAACTGCTTAAAAAAAATTATATAGAATTTATTTAAAAATATATATTGGTGTGCCTTTATCATTAATACGATTGAAAATGTCCTTTAATATGAATAAATAAATAAGTTCATATTATAGGTATTCTACTGGCCAATGGCAAAGACAGTGCATGGGGGAAGCCTATATCCAGTAGGGGGCAGTTTACCCTGGTCCTGTTGGTAGTGGTAGTGTTCGGGCTTGTCCTGGTCGGGCGAGTGGTGCGGCATCGCGTGGTGGTACATGCGGCCGCCGTCGGCCGCGTCGTAGCCGGCGGCGGCGCCCAGCCGTCCCTCGCCGTCGTACAGCGAGCCGCCGAACGAGCCCGTCCCCGGCGGCGCCACGCCCCCCGCAGGGGACATCTCGCTTACGCCCGGATTTGTCTGGCAAAACCATTTTTAAATTATAGTATATCGTATATTTCATTTTGCAAGCTTTAAATAAATAAATAAAATAATAATAATGCGATAAAATTAGTTTCTTATATTTATTTATAATAGTTAATATATTAAAATAAGTAATTCTGAGACACGTTTTCTCCCATGATCGCTCAGGTTATGGAATGAGCTCCCTGTTGAGGTTTTAAGAGACTACAACATAAGATTCTTCAAAGGGGGGTTAAAAGGTTTCTTTAGGGTCGACACTGCGTGCATTCTAGTATTGCAACCGCTCACAATCAGATGGGCTGTAAGCTTGTCTGCCATCTTAGTGGTATAAAAAAATTAAAACTATTTTTTACAAATCTATATTGGTTTCTACCGGCGACATCGTCCGCGTTAACGTGATATATTAATTTGATCGCGATCATCAGTCAATATACAAATACAAATAATATTTAGGATTAAAAGGGAACATAGGCTATTTTCTGTTCTGTTTAATCTATATCTTACATTACATCACGTGGTCGCGATCTTATTTATAGTACTCTATCTGTCCAATGGCTATGCATATTAGTGGCGGTGTTGTTTGCACCTTGTTGTAGTCGGAGAGCGAGGAGTTGCTGTTGCTGCCGGGGTGCATGTCGGTGCTGCCCATGGGGCTGGCGTCGGGGTCCCGCGGCGGCTCGAAGTCCAGCGCCGCCATGCCGGGCGACACGGGGCCCGGCGACGAGATGGCCGCGCCGATCTCGCTCGACAGCTCCGCGCCGAACGCGCCGCCGCCGCCGCCGCCGCCGCCACCCGCGCCGCCGCCCTGCACGGGAAGGGAATATTAGCAATGCGGACTGCCGGTTCCATTATTAGTAATGTTCTTCGCAGTCCTCTTTAAAAACCATCGTACTAAATTTCAGATGAATTTATCATGATGTTATGGATTGCTAGTAATGTGGTCTAACTGACCCATTGCTAGCAATATACCCAATCAAGTCGATTTCACGCGGTTCTCCCTGAAAACCATAGTGATTAATTCTCGTGGAATTAGTCATAATGGGCTAAACGATCTGCTTTCATTTTCACCTATCATCCCTCACTGGTACTCCAGCATATACCGTTAGTGCAGGCGGGGTTACCATTCCATTAAAACACATTAAAAAAAAAGACCCGTCTTTTCACTCACACCTATTATCCCTCACATCCTGACAGGGTATACTTTTACCGCAGGCGGTGTAAACATTCCATTATCATTTATTAAAAAAAACACACACACACACTCCAAGCACACACGCTGGCATGCTTCACGCCTAGCTACCGTGTATATATGACCTTATTTATTTTCCGTATCTATAACGCAATATGTGTAACAAAGTTAACTGAAACATCTCTACCACTAGAAATATAAGTCCCAAAATGTACATAGCGTCATATAACATATTAAAATAAAATGAAATTAGTTTATTTGCATTAAACAGTTTAAAATTATCACAAAAGCCACGTGATAGTATTTTGGCACCTGTTTAATTGCCTTAAGCGATGTAGGCATGCAAATATTTACATTTTATAAAAAAAAAAAAAAACAAGCGGAAAAACAAAACATAATAGAGTATACTGTTTCGCCCATGATACCCCCCATGCGTTGCCATTCCTGAGGACTCAGAAACCCAGTAAATTCACGCCATTATAATGTATACATTATATATATGTATGTATATATTATCATGTATACATACATCTTCTATTTAGAAATAGAAAAAGAAAAGTGCAAGTGCTTTGATAGTCGCCGTAGTAGTTTGAGTGACAGTCAACTGTCATTCAAAATATATATATTCTTGTTTTTTACATAATTATCTAGATTCATAGCTACACAGGTGGCAACAGCATACATTTCTGTTTGGAAAACAGTACAGTATTTCCCTGTGCTTTAACTTATTTCGTTTTCACATGAAAAGATTCCAGCTCTAGTACCTGTTGCATTTTGGAGCCATCAAAATTCAAAAAAATTCAAAATTCAAAAATCATTTATTCATGTAGGACATTTTAGCCGCTTATGAACGTCAAATTTTTACATTATAATTTTATATTTACCCTACCGTCCAGTTCGGTATATAGATCCAATTGAGAAGAACTGGCAAGAAACTCAATTGAATTACTTTTTTTTTTAAAGCCAGTTTATTTACAATGTATATTTATATAGGTGTCTATGTCTAACATTAAATGAAAATTCAGTGCATGAACAACTATTGCCATGCACACTCGTCATTCAAGTAATCGTTTAGTGAGTAATAGGCTTTGCTCAGTAAATATGATTTAACAGATGTTTTGAATTTATTTAAGGGTAATTCCAACATATCCTTTGGTATCTTATTGTAAATTTTTATACCCCATAAAAGACCTATTAACTTTTTCTAAACTTTTTGTCTTTAAATCTAGTATTAATATTATGAATATTGCTTTTTGAAAAGATTTTTATGAACATATAGGATATTTGAATATATAAATTGAGTACCTGAATTGCCATTTTGGAGCCATCATACAGTATACCAATATAATATATTCTTAATATCTGTCATCCTTCTTTAGACTAATCTAGCAGTATCAGTATCAGTGTACTGTCCAACTTTACGCACGGCAAAAGCTGCTGAACTTAGTTTCGCTGCAAGGCTTTGAATTTGTGCACCCCATTGTGTTTTATTATCTAGTGTGATTCCTAGAAAGACAGTAGATTCTAAATCATCCGTATACCAATATAGGTCATCCTTCTTTAGAGATGGCGGGCCATGTTTCCACTCTTCTCTTCTCTTCAGTTCTTCTTGAAGATGTATTTTGGTGTTATTTTGTCACACCTCATGTCCATATATATGTCCAAGTCTTTATCGACCTCCATTTTTATGTAATTTATAAGTGGTATAATAGTATCTGTTCCATGATTCTGTGTACTGCAGTTATTATGAGTAACATTTGTAGTAAGCTTAGGGCTTGAATACGTTCTTTATTCTTGAAGCATATAGTAGTCAGCAAATAGGATATTTTTTTTTTTAACCCACAACACCTACGGCATTGCAGGTGTGCTGCCGGCCTTTTAAAAAGGAATATGCTCTTTTCTTGAAGGTTATGTTGTCGTATCGGTTCGGAAATACTGCTGCTGGAAGTTGATTCCAAAGAGTGGTATATTTTCTTCAACAGTCTAGTAAATCATTAATACAAAGCAAGAACAGTAGTGGTCCTAAAATGCTTCCTTGTGGTACTCAGTTTTTATTACTTTTTAGTTTAGACCGTACTGTCACTTTTTGATTGTCAATTTTCTTTACTAATTCAACACATTGTTTTCTATTGTACAAATAACTTCTGAACCATTCGAGAGCTATTCCTCTAATATCTATATTGTCCAGTTTTTTAGATAATTGATTTATTAAATCAAAAGCTTTGGACATATCACGAAATATGCTAACTATGGCTATTTAGTATAAATTTATATGTATCTCTCAGCTTAATACATAAGCTTACTATTAGTAGTAATGAGTGAGTGAGCGAGTGAGTGAGTGAGTGAGGGAGGGGCGGTGGCTACCTGTGCGGCGAAGTGATGCGTGTCGGTGTAGGTGGGCGTGCGCGAGGCGGGCGCTGGCGACGAGTGCTGGCTGTACGGCGTGTGCGCCGGCGACGGCGTGTAGCTGTGCAGGCCGCCGCCGCCGCCGCCGCCGCCGCCGCCCGCCGGCGACGCCGCCGGGAACGGCGTCGTGCCGCCGCCGCCCGGCGCCGGCGACCGCGAGTACGGCCGCGCTTGCGCCTGTCACCAAGCATTCGTATGACATTACTACACAGACCACTCGTATTGTGTTCAATTAAGTAATTAAAATTAGAATAAAATTAAAAGATTAATGAAATCATAGAAATTTATTCATTTACTAAGTTTATTACCAAAGAAATTTATTTAGTTATTTTTTTATGTATGTAACATGAAGTTTTGTATTATGAAAGTATAAAATGGAAATAAAAGTATCATAAATAAATAACAGATTACCATTTTTAATATCGTGAAGACGTTTAATTTCGATTAATCACAAATAATAATTTTTAAATTCATCGATAATAACAATATCCGCACGTCATCTGTACAATCAATATTAAATAGTACGTACTGATTCTCTACCATGGTTGATAAACAAATACCGAGGTAGTAACAATAATTCGTCACAATGTCGAAAATGTAGCGGCAGGAAACAAATGAAAATAGTAAAAGCAGGCGTGTTAAATGTTGTGGTACCTGCGGCGCGGGCGAGCGCGAGTAGGGGTGCGGCAGCGGGTGGTGCGCGTGCGGCGACTGCGAGAAGCGCGCCTGCGCGGCCGGGCTGGCCTGCTGGTAGGCCGCCGGGCTGTGCGAGTACAGCGGGCTGCGGGCCGCCGCCGGCCCCGCGCCCGGCCCCGGCCCCTGCCCCGGCCCCGGCCCCGGCCCCGGCCCCGGCCCCGCGCCCGCGCCGCGCCCCGCCGGCGACCCGTAGCCGGCGCGCGGCGGCGACGGCGCCGAGAACGCCGCCGGGCTCGACGGGTACTGCGCCACCATTCAATTAAATTATTTCAAATTTGTTGCGATTATTATTTTAGAGGTATTGCATTGCATGTTAATAAAGAAATTATATAACTAAAAATTCATCTAATAAAATAACGGATGTCTGATGATTCCAAGTAAAAATTTTCAAAATGTAGTATATCAAAGAAAATAGAGTAAAATTCCTATATTTATATAAATAATTTCATTAATAAGAAATTAATATTAGGTCCTTACATATGAAATTAGCGTTTTATAGCACTGGCCACTTCGATCTGAAATATCTCCTTTTTGGTTAAGAATTCCAAATTCAAATTTATAAATTCATTTAGATTTGAGTTTTGAACAGTCATTCATTTGTTTTTCGTCATAAATTTTTTCCTTGGCGTTGCTTATTACCGCACAGTGAAAAACATGAAGTACCGGTATATTTACGAGTACGAGTTCTACCGTGGCACCAGTGCTGCAGAAACAGCTCGAAGGATTAATGAAGTGTACGGCGTTGGTGTCGCAAAAGAAACCACGGTATATTTTTTGTTTCAACGTTTTCGTTCTGAAAAATTCGACCTTCAGAACCAACCCCATGAACGGCCGGTAACCAAAGTGGAAAATGAACTATTAAATGCCATTGTGGAAGCAGATCCATCACAAAGCTCTTCAAAGATAGCTCTAGGCTTCGGGGTAAGTGATAAAACTGTATTAATCCACTTGAAGCAAATCGGGAAAGCAAAAAAACTTGAACGATGGGTACCTCATGAATTGAGTGAATCGAAATTGCAAACGCGCGTCGACTGCTGTGTTACTTTGCTCAACCGACACAATAATGAAGGAATTTTAAATCGAATCATTACTTGTGATGAAAAGTGGATACTGTACGATAACCGGAAGCGCTCGTCGCAATGGTCGAGCCCTGGAGATCCAACCAAATCCTGCCCTAAACGAAAATTGACTCAAAAAAGTTATTTGTGAGTGTTTGGTGGACTAGCGCCGGTATCGTTCACTACAGCTTTCTAAAATTTGGCCAAACGATTACGGCAGATATCTATAGTCAGCAACTGCAAACCATGAAGGAAGAATTAGCTTCTGAACAACTAAGATTGGTCAATCGCTCTAGGCCACTGGTGCTTTACGACAACGCAAGACCACACACTGCACAACAAACAACCACTAAGTTAGATAAGCTACAATTGGAATGTCTGCAACATCCACCATCCCCGGACCATTTTTCCGGAATTTGGACAACTTCTTACAAGGAAAAAAATTTAACTCCGATGTAGCAGTCCAAATCGCCTTCAAAGAGTTTATTCTCACCCTCATTTTTTTACTAAAGTGCATACTTTGATTAATTAAAAATATTATGCAAAAAAAAAAAATCACTTCATATTTCTCATATACAAAAAGCACAAATTTCATATGTAAGGAGCTAATATATATTAATTAATAAAAAATGTTAAGTAACAGTTTAGCAACTATCTGAGACGTCTTGTTTTAGATAAGAACAGATGTTGTGTGTGGTGTGTGTGTAGGTACGCACCTGTGGCTGCGGCGTGCCGGCGGGGCGCGCGGGCCCCGGCGAGTAGCCCTGCGGCCGCGGCGACGCGTACACGGCGCGCGGCGACGCCGCGTAGCCCGCGCCCGGCCCCGGGCCCGGCCCTGGCCCCGGCCCCGGCCCCGCGCCCGGCCCCGGCGACCCGTAGCCGCGGCCCAGCAGCGCGCCCGACACGTCCAGCGGCGACTCCATGCCGGCTCCTGCGGACCACGCCCGTGTATTTATACGCTACAGATTATTATCGGCAATATACCTCTAATTATCTTATACTACCTCCGATTAAAATAATATCATTATAAAGTAAAAATGAAATAAATTACTGCAAGCCTGATCTTGACATGATTGTTTATTGACTTAAAATGTCATTGTAAAAAAAAGTCTGGCCGAGGAGTCCTATTGATAAATTCAGAGGGTCAAAAATAAAATCTATTTAGACAAATTATTTTAAGACTATGCAACAAATTAAAATATATTTTTTGACATCCTAGCTAAAAACTAAACCAAATTATGAAAATGCAAACATATATGCTTTCGATGCAACCCTGTATTTAATTATTACATTTATACCTAGCTTTTGGAACACTTGGCTATCGACACTTGCGCTGGAAATATGTACGGCGTTCATGGGTAAAGTGTCTATATAAGTATACAAAAGAAATTACACAAATGCCGTACAGTAATAAATGACCTATGTTGCTTCAACAATTATCGGCGAATTAATAATTTGCACTGACTTCCGGCACCACCACTTTAGTACGGCACTGGGTTTTTCGACATTTATTTTTAATCATCTATAAACTATAAGAAAGCCGTACATTAATAATTAGTCGTAATTCCTCACTCGTACCTGGGACATTCCATTTATTCCCGTACTCACCTGTACCGCTCAGAAATGACGGCATAGTGCTCAGAGATATTTTCTGATATAGTAACAGCCTTCTAAGAGTTATTCACATTGGTTTATTTCACAGATAATTTTTTTCCATGGGCTACAAGCCCATGGAAAAAAATTATAGTCTAATATTAAAACTAGTATCAGCTAACGCTGTGCATAGTGGGGGGAAAGGGATTGTTAGTCTAACTGACCCATTGCCAGCAATACACCCTATCAGGTCGACCTAAACCCAGGCCCGTTAGTTCTAGCGGAATTCGTCACGATGGGATAACTGACCTGCTTCATCCCCATCTACCGCCAATATATACCGATAGAGCAGACGGGGTTACCATTATCACCCATAGAAAAACAAAACACTGTGCGTAGCAATAAACGGTGTAAAAATTTAAATCGATTATTTAGTTAGTTACTTCTAATGAATGTAATGTAAATTGCATTACTGTAGCTGTACCTAAATAAATAAATAAATATATAGTAATTGTATTATTATTGCAACGTTGATGTTTAATTTTGTGTGTTAAGAAGTTATATGTGTGGACTGACCGACAGCGGCGCCGGGCGGCTGGTAGTAGGAGCCGGCGTCGGCGGCGAGCGGCTGCTGGTGCGGCGGCTGGTGCTGCTGGTGCGGCGGCTGGTGCTGGTGCTGGTGCTGGTACAGCAGCGAGCCCTGGCCCAGCGGCGACGGCAGCTGGCTCTGGAACTCGCCGTGGCCCAGGTACGGCGCCTCGTGCGGCAGCGGCTGCAGCGACGGCAGCTGCGGCTGCAGCATCGCGTTCGCCTGTCGCGCACATCACACGTCCAATTGTAAATTTATTATATAGAATGGCAGGGAAGATTACTGTTAAATGTTATGTTTTTAATATTCATAGGTAGGGGGAAAGGGACTGTTAGTAATGGAGACTGAGAATCCCATTGCTAGCAATATACCCAACCAGGTCGACCTCCTCGCGGTTCCCCCTGAAAACTATCATGGTTAATTCCTGATGAATTCATCATGATGGGCTAACTGGCCTGTTTTCATTCTCATCTATCACCCTTCACTGGTGCTCCGCCAGCGTATCCCGTTAGCGCAGGCGGGGTTACCATTTTCACTCATCAAAAAAAAAAAAATATTCATAGGCAACAATTATAGCTTTCCGTCAGTTTGTTAAATTCAAACATATATATTTTAAAATTATATATTTTTTTCTCTTCTACTGGAAAACTACACGAATACCAGGAATTCATCTTTACGTTCTACAGATCCGTCAAAGTGGGTCGCAACATGGTGTCTAATGCAAACTGCTGAGGAATGAAATGCTCTTCCTGTTACTGTGTTTCCAAAGAAATACCACCAGGTTCTCCACCGTGTATTTTTCAAGGCACTTTCTTCCACACACAACCACTCTTTGAAATCAACTTCTTGCAGTAGTATTTCCGAACCGATACATCATAACCTTCAAGAAAAGAGCATATTCCTTTTTAAAAGGCCGGCAGCACACAATGTCTCTGGTGGGGGTGATCATGAGCGGCGGTAGGCACTCACCATCAGGTTAGCCGCATGCTCGTTTGCCCCGTCGTTAAATAAAACTTTGGATTTTTGTCAATGGCGAATAAATATTATCTGGGTAAGCGCTCTGTCTTAGATCTTATCATGGCTTACCATCAAGTGAGGTAAGATCAAACACAGATCGTTTTATAATAAAATATATATATCTAATCACTAATGTATCTATCTGAGTCACCTGTTGCTGCTGTTGCTGTTGCTGCTGCTGTTGCAACAGGAATTGCTGCTCCTCGGGCCTGATCTTCTTGGGTCGACCGCGCTTCTTTTTGGGCGGCTGGTCCCCGTTGGGATCGAGGACTGGCGGCGGCCGCGGCTGTCTCGGGGCCCGGGGCACCGGTGGGGCTGTCTCTCCGTTCTCCAGCTTCACCTTCTTAGGTCTACCTCGTTTCTTTTTGAGTGGAACCTCTGTGCCGTCTTCTAGAATGATCGTGTCGCCCGGCTCCGGTTCCATTGTCAGTCTGGAACGTTCTCGGGTTAGCACACGGGCAAGGGAATGCAAATATAATTTTAATGGATTTAAAATAAATTAGGGTGGGACCTAAAATTAATTTACAATAATCAGATAGACTATGTCTTATCTGAAGTAGGAGTCAAAAGTCTACGGTAGCAGGATACATGCAAGTTATGAATATAGATAAACAGATAAATGTAGAGGCCAGAGGCACTCGGCTGATCCTGCTTACTCCACGAGGGACATAGCGTGATTATGAAATACGTTATTAACGCATGTGTGTAAGGTCAGAGCTATTCGAGACTTAGTTCTAATTGCCTTCCCTGTAAAAGAGCTGGCCTGAAGACATTGGGTGTTTTTTTTACAATTATAAATTTAAATTAGAAAAGCTCCGGAGATCCTCATTTTCGTCATAGGGCACGATAAAAATGTCCCTGGGGCACACTGAGTAGGGTAACGCTAGAATACCATAGATATAACATAGAATAACTATCGCTATCTAGTTCCAAACAAAGCCGAGTAAATCAGTACCTAGATAATATGCCCAGCAGTATTTTTTATTATAATTTCAGGTCATCTGATCCGTCATCATCCATCACCAGACCATCAGACCATCTGGTCAGAGGTCATCTTTTGTGTCATATTCCATTTGATGGATGACGAAAGTACAAAGAAAAGTACGCCGTGGGGGTAACCCAAGGTGATGAAATGAATAACACGAAGAAATTTATAAACATGCCGGGTAAAATCAAAGTGATTAGCATCCTTTTAATGCAGTATTTTTCCAAAATACCGAGTGTTCTTGTGATAAAGGATAATATTGGAATGTTAACCCTGCCTGCTGGCAACAAACACACTGACAAGGCACCAGTGTGGGATGATTGGGAAGAATTATTCAGTCAATAAAATATTCCTTTAAAAGAATGGTGATCATGTCGATTTCATGGTGTGTAAATAATTAAATGAAAATACTACTCATGCGCTGCTATAACTTAGCCAGAGCTTAGTCGACTGAAGGTTTAAAGATCCATTCCGGAGGCTTGGGGCAATTTAAAGCCAAGTGCCCACATTTTAGAACAGTTAAGACTGGCTGGGCTGACTACAGCCACACATTTCAATATTTAAGTGCGGAATCTTCTATAAACATCTAGACTTACTTCCTGTACTGATCACACTCACACAAAATCACAATACTAGGTGCTGAAATGGCTAAACTAAATATGTAACATCAACCTCTTGTGGCGAGCGCAGGCGAGGGACATCTGTTCGTGCAATCAATTTAATCAGCGTGTCCTTTGGACAGTGTTTAGAGTACAAGAGTCGTGTGAGGACTGGGCGGACTGGGCGGACGGTCCCGCGCCGGCGCGGCCGCGGCGGCAGCGGGCGCGGTCACCTGGGCGCGCGGTACCTGCGTATCTCCATCTCCTCCTGCGGGCGGCGGCTCGTGTTGTCGGGGAACACGAGCTCGGCCTCGTCCACGTGCGCCACGAGCCCGTTCAGGTAGTCGCGGAACTTCTTCAGCGCCGCGTAGAAGGGCACCTTGTCGGCCGCGCGCGGCAGCTGTGCGCACCGCGCCGACGACGACGGCATCACCCACATGTACTGCGGACACGACGCCACGCGCGCCCTCATACACTACCCGCGGTACAACTCTACTTACACTCTAACTAAGGGTATGACCGTGATTGATGCACCATTTTATTATAAAGTAAACTACAGTAGTCACTGGTACCCATCCTACCAGTATCTATTAGTCCAGCGTGATCAATAGCGCAAGGGGACTGCCATTCTATTTTTAAGTGGCTACCAAAAGATGTTTTCAATTTTTCTGATATTTTTTGTAACTATATTTTTTATTTTATACAATTTTCACAATTCTTTTTATAAAACGCATTTTATTTAACGATTGAAGCTACCATTTATGTTTGTGGAGCAAAAAACTGTTTGCAGTGAAGTTAAAATCTATAAAACACGCCATTCCATGTTCTAATTTCAAATATTTAAATGTGTAGGGTATGTACAAACTTCTTGTAAGTAAAATCATACTTATGAGTCATCTTGTTTACAATTGAAGTAGTTTCGTTTTTCACAAAAATGTACAGAATGTAACAGAAATTTTAACATCTTAGGAAGGGAACTGATCACGTTCACTAAAAAAACTTAAGTAGATGAAATTATAAAAAAAAAAATGTAGTCTCTCCTAAACACGGTGCATTCAGCTGTTGAATTTTGGATTTACAAAATATGTCCTAATATGTTCCATTGCATGGATGGATTCTTAGTTTCCAATCAACATTAAAAAGAAACAGGTTTTCAATTTGGTTGCATTATTTTAAAAAAGTTTATTACCTCATAACTCCGTCAGCTGTAAACCAATTTGGATAATTCCTTTTTATCTGAATGGATATACTTACAAATTTGTCTCATACATTTTTTTTTCAAAATCGGTTCAGCAGTTTAGTTTTTAAATTTAAATTACTGGCTTTGCCACAATTGAAGTAGGTTTTTTTGTGGAACACAATTTAACATGAGCAGCTAACGACTTCGATTTCCTCGTGTACTAGGGGGTAGGTTGTTATCAATGAAAAGTATACTAACAGTGTTGGTGCCGGCGATGGTGTCCGGCTGCTTGCCGAAGCAGAAGTCCTTCTTGCCGGAGAACACCTCGTAGATGAGCTTCCCGTTGAACACGGCCACCTTGGGCCGGAACGTCTGCAGCTTCTCGAGCAGGATCGCGGAGCCCTCCTTGATCTCGCGCCGCGTCAGGTCCGCCGAGCCCTTGGTCGCGCGCGGCACCATGTTCGTGAACCCGATGCCGAAGTTCAATAACTGAATAACAACAATGAGAATATTTTATATGCAAGTAAAACAAATTAAGCAGTAGCGTCCCTCTCGAAACATCTTGAAAGCCTAACTCTAGTTGCCAATCCGCCTGCCAAGTGTGGCAATTACTGGCAAAACCCCTAAAGGGGAGGCTTATGTTATGTTATGTTATAAAACATTATTTAACTAGCCATTCATGCAGTTTTCTTTAAAATATCACTCCAGAGAGGGTTTTTAACACTTTGCTGACCGGGAATTCCGTCACAGTTTACTCTCTGTTTAACGTAACGGTTGACCGGTAGAGAATGCTATCAGGCATTAAGTCTGTCCTGTTGACATATTTTAATGTATGCAAAAGTATAAATAAATAAAATGGTTGAAATCTTTGGAATTAAACTAAAATTATGATAAAAACCTAAATACAAAGAAAAGTAATTTTTTGGTCATGAACGCTTTGTAATCCAAATGGTCTTGCCCGCCGTGGTAGGAGGAGGTACCTATACGCTAGTGCAATGACGAGTTCACTCGTCACCGATCAGCAAACTGTTAAATTATATGGAAAATTATACTAACATTCTGACTGCCATATTATATGGAAATTTTTGTGTCTACTTCAAAATTATTATGGGCAATTTTATTGTATTTGGGAATCTGCTGTGTAATGAATTTATTGTAGTTCTTTGTTTTATTTGAAATTATTCTAGCACTTCTTTAAGGAAAATGCATAATTCTTTTATATACTTACAAGCTTAAGCTTAGAAGATTATTTTTTTGTAAATAATGGACGACAGGATTTCAAGAAATCAGCATCAAATATAGAACGTAAGCATTTCTTTTGTGTCATGAACACTGGATATCTGTAGTTTCCATACTACATAGTAATTAAGCGGTACTATATGACTGATGCAACATGTGCATGGTAAGCAAGTCAGTCGATGGAGGATATTTCATCATGTTTTAATAATAGACTTAATACACCTTACTACGTGTTTTAATAGAATTTAATGATAATGTAAATAAATTGATGGCCAAACTGAGCCGACTGTAAAACAGACTGCTGATGTCTAAATGTAATGTAAATTGGACTCTCTTTTCCGCGCTTAGCCTCTCATTTGGGTCGTTGTGCTTAGAGTCGTGACTAGTACAGCCAGCCCAGCTCCGCCCAGAAGCACAGAAGTTTCCTGGGATCTTCACAGGCCTCACGGAGCGACCTCACCGTTCCGAGAATTTCTAAACATTGAGGGGCCACAGCTTCATATTCCAGGATTACGTGATTAGCCGTTTCTTCGGCGTCAAAACAGCCTCGACATAGAGGCCTGTCTGTGGCTCCTATTGTGTATAAATGTTAGTTCAATGGGCAATGGTCCGTTATTGTCCCTATCATTGTTTTAAGTTTTTTTTCTATCTACATAGTACTAATGTAATGATGTCTAATAATCGTACATTTATACGATTAATCGAAATAAAATTATTTAATTAATTAAAAAATCGATTAACCGATTTAATGTTCCGGTTTGTTACTAATTGCAATTAGAGTGTTTCTGTGATAATTGTCACTATATGTCTATTAGATGCTATATAAGAAAAAAAATATTTGGGCTAATCGATGTTCAACTATAATTTTTAGAATCTTTGTCTATATGTTTGTTTTAGTATCATGCTATAACATTAAATTATTTTTTCTATTTGTAATATCAACATGTATGTACTTAGTCGCAGGTAAAATTTTGTAGTAGTATGTAGTATGGAAGACTTATTATGCTGCCTTCGCTGTACATAGATGCTTGTGACGTAGCTTACATGGATAACGAAACAATATAAGGTACCTTGTAATCTTCGTCGGCGCTCATCTGTTCCCTGGTGAGGCCGGACAGGTACAGGCACTTCCAGAAGTGGTTCCCGGGGCCGGCGTAGTGGTGCCCCTTGTACGCGGCGAACAGGCCCGGGTTGATGCCGATCTGAAGATACAAACACATCATAAGTGCATATAGACGAAATTAAATGTTACAGTGGGCCTATAACTTGTTTATAATATTATTTTACATATTATTGTGTATCATTTATTAACTGTCCACTGCTGAACATAACTTCTCCCATAAGGTTTGGGGGATTTTGTCAAGATTTTGAGTAAGAGGGGTTTTGTCAGTAGTTGCTACACTTGTGGGACGCTGCTGGCTATCCCTCTACCACAAGCTCCCTTAGTCGTCTCTTACGACACCCACGGAAAAGGAAAGGATGACCTATTCTATGCCGGGATTTACACGGCTGGCATATTATTATTATTATTATTTTATCATAATTAATAAATATGTAAAAAAGTATCTTCAAAGTCAGCAATGCGCATGTGATATTCCTGGTGTAGCAGGCTGCAGTAATCGTTTATCCCCCAACGACGGACTATATGTTTGTTCTTGCTTACCACAAAGGTATAAAAATATCAAAACAGAGATTTGTTAGAAAAAACACAATGCAAATTTATTTCATATCAATTGTTTCATTTTCAGAATTCTCATATTGTCGATTAGGTATTGCAAACATGATTTATAATTTTGGACCCCAAATCTTTTAGAAAAAAAAGAGTTTTAGCTTAGCAATGCGTCTAGACATTCCAAATGTACTTATATATAGATTCGCGGATTACAGTTCGCGACCGGGAACGGTCACTTTCGTTTTAATCTCTATGACGAACTAGGTCACTCTTTTGGTTCGCAGCTCGAGAGCCGGAAACAGGCCGCTCACTACCGATCGGTACTGGCTGCGCTCTCTTGCTGTTTATTTCATTTATTGTGTAGAATAACGTTTCCAATGAACGATCAATGACAAAATAATACATCATTTATAAGTTTAACTACTGTTCTACTGTCATACAAGTCGCAAATCCGGCCCTTCATGGAATACTGGTTATGAGAATTAGTGGCGATCCCGAGCTCACAGCCGGTATCGAGCCCTTAAGTTCTATCGCTTGTATAGCGGATTGTGTTCCGAGGAATTGTTCGAAATAATGTCTACAGATACTTTCTATCATCGCTCCTCTTGCTATCAATAGGGAATTCATTCTTACTCGCTAGTTCCTAAATGACGTACAAGGCGGTTTCAAAGAAGTCTTTCCCCGTGAATGCTCATGCTGTGAAATGTTTCCCTAGAGATCACAGTATAGGGTTCTTCAAAAAGAGTGTATTAAGCCTTTTTTTAGGATCGGCAACGCGCACATGACGCCCCTAATGTTGCTACTTACAGTGAGCGTTTATCAGCAGACAAGCTGTATGCCTGCTTGCCACCTTCGTGATATAAAAAAAATTAAGAAACTGGTCAACAAATCAACAATAGAAGCCTATAGCAAAGCCTATAGAAACATGACAGTTTTCTTATACAATATAAAAATACTAAAAATTTATGGAACGGACTAACTTCTTCGTGGTCAGAATGTGTTCCGATTGGGATTTATATGAACTAGTTCATTTGAATAGTGCCTGAGAAATATTTTTCGTCCCTGACGAGGATTGACGTGACTCGGAGACGGAACTATATGTAACAGTATTTTATACCGCACATTATTGTGATTTCAATATGTATTCCTATCTTTTTAAATGATTTGAATGACAAAATGAGAAGGTTCAGAGGAAGACTTTGTACAAAAGTCGATTGCTTGGGTACCTCTGTCCCATTTGTGTTTCAACCGTGAAGCAGTTGTGTTTGCATGGCTGTGTTTCGGTTTGAAGGGTGGGATGTGGATTTACAGGGTACAGAGGAATAACATCTGAGTCCTCAGGAATGGCAACGCATGAGGGGTATCATGGGCGAAACAGTATACTCTGTTATGTCCATGCTACTGCTCATGTTTATAGGCGACGGTTACCACTTTCCATCAGATGGACCGTCAGCTTGTTTGCCATTCTAAGTTGTATAAAAAAAAAGGTTCTCAATTTGTCTGTATTTTTGTGGCAATATCACATAGTGACATTGTCAATTCCAAACCAATTCTCACAACACTTTTTGCTATCGACAGAATGTTAGTTGCTCATAAAAAAAACTGCAACGAAGTAAATCATTTGAATATAAACACGCGATTCCGTGTTCTAAATTGAAATATTTTCTATCTAATGCGTCTACGAACATCTCATTTTGTCATAGATATGTTTAGTCACGAAATAAGCTTTTTGCGGTGTAAAATGTAAACATATAGATATACTGTGTGTAAAGGTTGTGAAGTAAGCTTTATGTTTTTGATAGAATGATATATATCCTTAAAAGTATTTGCACGTAATGGTACGGGAGAGAGCTGCGAGCGCGCGTAAGCCGTGCGCCCCGGCTGCCTGTCCGTACGCTGGAAGACGTTAAGCTGCTTATCTCGGCTATAATTGTCATTTCATTAGGTTAAAGTAACAACTTAAGGGCGCATTGATATGTGACACGCTCACTGTGTACGGATCGTGATGCATATATGTACATATAATACAATCCTATTAATATAAATACAAAATTCGTAGTTATCGACATAATAACGCAGCGCTATCTGGTATTGTATCAGCCGTTACCACTGACGAACATAGGCCTCCCCCATGAGGAGGGGGGGGGGGTTTGCCAGTAGTTGCCACGCTTAACAGGCGAGTTGGCAACCACAGTTTGGCTTTTGGTAATGTTTTAAGAGACACGCTGCAGCCTATTTCTCCACCATAAACTCCCTTAGTCGCCTCTTACGACAACCACGGAAAAGGAAGGGGTGATCTATTCTATACCGGGACCTACCTAATGTAATGAGTCTACAAAATCTCATCAGTCATGGGTATGGTTCGCTGCTTTGAAGTCGCTATAGTTTTTGCAGAGCAAAATGTAAGACATTTTGCTCTGCAAAACAAACCAAACGAAACAAAATTTTTGTGCTAAAATTATATAATACATACCGTTTAAAAACATTAAAAATGTTAAAATATCGTTTATTTGAACCTTTATGGTAGGATTTATAGCGGTAAAAAATGTTAAATTCCATTTACTGTGCAGATTTTGGTATGAACAAAAACACGAAATCGAGATATGAGACCGAAAATTTGGAATTCTATTTCATGGTAGACCCCCAGATTTCCAATTACGAATGAACCGATTTTTTTGTTTATAAATAAACACGTAACATATTTCTTTGAGGGGAACAGTAAAGAGTTTTCATTCATTCATTCACGTATAATTTCAAGCTAGAGAGTTTTTTGTCATTCGAAGTTTCTGTTTCCATTGGTTCCGACCGTCCGGAGCTGGGGCAGACAAATCGATACCGCCGCTTCTACGATGGCTTAAGTTACGTTACGTAGTAGTTGACATTGACGCATAACATACCTACTGTGGCATTATCATTTTTTATACAATTTGGGATTGCTCAGAAAGGCGATAGAGCTGACGACCCATCATTTCTTTTTATACAACTTAGAATGGCAAACTGAACCTGATGGAAAGCGGTCCCCGTCGCCCATAGACATGAATAGTACCATGGATATAACAGAGTATACTGTTTCGCTCATGATTCACGCAAGCGCTGATTTCTGAGGACTAAGAATGGAAAGTAGTAACTATCGTTTATTGACATATAGACATGGAAATCATATAATGACATTGATTGGCCCTCTTATGCGTTGCTATTTATGAAAACTATGGTGTAATGGTTCCATATTCTATAATGTTACTGCCATATCCACCCTAACATAAACGCCAAGCAAGTAGTGCTTGGCGGCAGTAACGCGAGTGGCACTGTGGCACTTTAGCACACAACTTTTGTAGTCAGGTTAATTTCTGCTCTGGTTTACTTCGCCACGTTGGTATGCTATCAACAGCCTCGTATTATGGAGATTTATGCATACGATTGTCTCACTCGGTTGTTATCGGGAATTTGTTAATGAGACGCGCGGTAATTCGTTAAGTTCCCATTTTTAGAGATAATCTTGAATGCACAGCAGCAAAGTGGTATACCTTGCTAATAGATTACAACATTTTGTGCCATATTGCTACCAGCTTCGATCTGCGCAATCTTATACGGCTCTGTGCAGAGTTGCGAACGTGTCGTCTTGCATAATAGTAGGTAAAAATTTCCACCATCGTCGTGTTATGTACCATTCGAGCTCGAATCACGAACAAAGACAATATCCATTAATCACTCGCTTTTTACCCAATTTCAGAATAGAGGAAATTCTTAATTATTTTTTTTTGTATGTGACGCGATATCTTCGACAGTTGCCAGCATTTTTTTGTATATTTTTTGCCTAACTACCAAAAAAGGTGGGTAAAGATTTTCGGGAGTGTTTTATTAAATTAAGAGTAGATATTTTAACGGCATTTTCTTGATACTTGACTAAAATTTTGAATATTTTTCTGCAAATTGGTATATCAAACAAGCTGACGGCCCACCTGATGGAAAATGGTAACTGTTGGTTAAAGACGTGATTAATACCATCGTATAGTATATTGTGATGGGGGGAAAGGGATTGTTAGTAATGGGGTCTAATAGCCCCATTACTAGCAACATACTCTCTCAGGTTGACCACCACGCGGTTCCCCCTGGAAACCATCATGTTTAATTCTTGTCGAAATCATCATGGTCAATCCATTTTCATCCAATAAAAAAAAGTATATTGTGATACTTCCATGGTTGCCATTCCAGACGATATGGAGCTGTACCCTGAATTTCACTGTTATGTGTCCCTTACCAAACTAATACATAGCTATGCAAATACAGCTGTTTAACGGCAGAACCACAAGTGATACAAAAGTATCTGGTCAAGCAAACGACCAGTGTCCTGATAAAACAAGTTTCGTATATTGTTCTTGGGCTATTTCTTAAACTATACCTTTATGGTTATATACTCTAGCTCTTGTTCTATGTTCTTTTGGCCTAAACACAACGAGACAGTAAAAATTTTCGCCATTTTGAGCCGCGAACAAAGAGAATATCCATAAATCATTGGATTTTTGGCTTTTTACCTTTCCTGCGATGCTCATGAATATAAAAATAACGGGTCATTTGGGCAACTACAATACATAGTGTACATTAATCATAATTGATGACGAGCCATTATGTTTTTCGTTAAACTGTTAGTCACGTTTCAGGGTGTCCAGATGACGTTTCAGCACGTCAAGTATGCGATCTTTCGTGGACACAACAATTTTGTTTATAATTTTTATACAATTTTGAACGGCTGACGGTTCGCCTGATGAACAGCGGTATGCTTCGCCTACAGACATGAACAGCAAGCATGACTTCCATTCTTTCTTCATGACCATCATATCACATCAGTCGTTAACCGTCCACTGCTGAAGATAAGCCTTCCCCAGAAAGGGAGTTTTGCCAGTAGTTGTCATGTTTGACGGGTTGGCTACCGCAGTTAGACTTTTAGTGATATTTTAAGAGGGACGCTGCTGTCCATCCCTTCACCATAAGGTCCCTTAATTGCTTCTTACGACTCCCGTGGGAAAGGAAAGGGTAGCCTGTTTTATGCCACGACATACACGGCGATTTCTTCATGATAGTATTCTTAAAATTGCTTTTAATTGATAATTATAATGAATATGGGCATTTCAAGTATTAAGTTCACTAAAACGGCAACGTTTTGGCAGTTGACGAAATGTCCCTGCCTACCCCATTTGGAATTATAGAGGTCAGTCGTGAACATGTGAATACTATTTTCGTATATTTTTCGTTATATTAAGTAGGTGAAAAAAGAAAGCCATTAAAGTACAAAAGATATCAGTTAACGGTTGAACTAATTTGCATCGGACATTTAAAGACATGCCAGAGATAAGCCTCTTAATTAACCACACGCGAAAAACGAGTAAATTTTTGCTCCACAAACAAGAGGCGGCTTTAATCAAAACAAAATTACTACGGGACCAATACGGGAGCGAACACCATCGATAACAGAACATCGGCAACATCAGTTCGGAATTAACAAAGACATTGCGCAATATACACAGAAACCAGAGGGAGACTTTGTACAAAAGTCGTTTGCTTGGGCACCTATTCCATTAGCGTCTCTATAGGGTACAGAAGAATAACACCTGAGTTCTTAGGAATGGCAACGCATGGGGGGTATCATGGGCGAAACAGTATACTCTGTTATGTCCATGGTACTGCTCATGTCTATAGGCGACGGTTACCACTTTCCATCAGATGGGCCGTCAGCTTGTTTGCCATTCTAAGTTATATAAAAAAACATGTACATTGCACTTTACATAATTAAAATTGTGTTCCACAAAAGAAACCGATATCAATTGTGGAAAATCCAGTTATTGCGATTTATAAACTAAACTATTGGAACGATTTAATTAACATTTCTAAGGGAACTATTTGTAAATATATCTTTTTAGATTAAAAAATAATCCAAATCGGTTTACAACCCACGGAGTTATGATTAACATACATAAAAAGAAATATAATTGAATTGAGAACCTTCTGCTTTTTGAAGTCGGTTGAAAAGATCAAATGAATATACCATAGACACATTAGATTGCAAACATTTGAATTTAGAATTCGGAATCGTGTGTTTTACTTAATTACCTAGCAATTATTAAGTTGCTTTCCAACGGTCGTCGGTTCGATTCCTGTACAATACAAACATTTGTAGTCATGAGTATATTTATTAATAGTTACAAAAAAGATAATTTAAGTATTTTTATTAGTTGTGTATGTAATAAGTTTTTTTTTTCGGAATAGATGGCGACACCAACTAGACGACTTTAATTATTAATTTGCTTCGCAACAAGCATGATTCAGACCCACAAAGATTAATGGCAACTTCAACGGACAAAAAATTAATATGGGATCAACAAGGGAGTATATTAAAAAATACTTTCCAAAACTGTTCAGAACTCACAAAATAAAAAAAGACGTATGAATTGAGAACTACATTTGAGAACATTTTGAAATCACTTAAAACACCCGGAATAGATTTTAAACAATAGACAGACAAGTCCATACTTGACAGTGGGGTCACAGCAAATAGAAGTGGCGGAAATCATTCGTGTCTATTATTATAATTTTTCCTTATGTTAAACCGCTAAAATAATTTTATAAATATTTTATATTATTAATAAATAATATATATAAAAATCCCGTGTCACGATGTTTGTTCACGCTAATCTTCAAAATAGCTCAATCAATTTTAATAGTGTTATAAATGTGTATGTTTGCTTCAATTTGAGAAATAGAATAGGTTTTATTTCGATAAGACAGAGCAAAATAATGTAAAATAACATTTGTCAGGCCAACCTCCATGTGGTTCCTCACAGAAACCATCGTGATTAATTCCTAGTGCACTTTCTACGATGAACCAAATGATCTGACTTCACTCTCACCTATCATCTCTCACTGGTGCCCCGCCAGCGTATACTGATCGCGCAGGCGGGGTTACCACTGTTTTAGCATCCATTAAAAGAAAAAATACACGGTAGAATATCCACGCACGCGTATAAATAAGTTTGTGAACTCCTACGTGAATCGTATCGTTACATACGGAATTGCTTTTCCCATATTTCCTTCATTCTATAACCTCGAATGCTTCAAACGTAGAGTAAAAAAACACATAGTAAGGCAGTATAGTGCGACCAACCATTGAAAACTTCTCTTTTCGGTTGATCGCATTCATGGGCCATATTGTCACTGACTACTCAGGACCGTGTGGTCACATGCCGTGCTATTGTAAAACAAATCAACTAAGGAATGAGTGAGTGGCGATCATACTCACAATGATGATGTCCAGGTTCTCGGTGAGGTGGTCGGGCAGGGTCCGCCGTGAGACCTCCTCCTCGCTCATGCCGTTGAATCGGTCGTGCTTCTTTCGCTCCTTCACCGGCCGCGCCACCAGCGCCCCCTCCATCCCTGGCTCCGCTTTTATCTCCATGCTGCAACCAATACACACTGTGTTCATAATGTATACATATTCATATTATGCTAGTAATATAAAATATATTAAGATATTTGGATATTCAGATGTTAAATGTTACTTAATCACACTTTAATGACTGAACGGATCTGTGGATCATAATCATCACCGTCATCGTCATATCAGCCGTTTACTGTCCACTGCTGACCATAGGTCTCCCCCATAAAGGAAGGTTTACCAGTTATTGCCATGCTTGGCAGGCGGGTTGGATGAAGAATTGTTGCTTTACTGACAGTCGGACCTATCTCATGTTTGATTAAAGCGTTTGATTTTTATATTCATTTCGGTTCAAAGAATTGGGATATGGCAGTAAAGTTACATTCACGGAGGTATAAAGACATAACATCTTAATTGGAAATGACACCACGCGAGGCGTACCATGTGTTACCAATCATTAGAACTAAGTCGTTATACCTTCGTACCCAGTAATTTCACTGGCTTATCTCACAGACTGCATATTGAAAGTACGGGAAAGACACTCCGAATAACAACAAAATAATTAATAACGATGTAAAATGGAAAGTGATATCTAGTCGCGAAACAATCCGTGTATAATTGTGAACGGAACGGGCTGGAGTCTGCGGCTCGAGTTGCGATGGTCACGGTCACATCTCCAGCCGCAGACGGACAGTGGCTGACGGCGTCACGTAATCGTTCACGGTAATTTACGTTCGACACGAAAACTGCATCTAATCTTTTATATCTAAACTTAGTAGACGTAATTTTGTTACGAATCGGAGACAAAATTCAGACATTTGAACTTGCTCTTATACTTCTACCGCCAAGCTTGATTGCTGTCTGTGTTCTGGGCACGGGAAGAATTGTGAAAGTACTGGACACGATAAGTTAATCTCTGAGTGATGATGGAATAAAAATGTAATGCTTTATCGCTCCTTTTCTCTTCAGGAGGTAAAGACACCAGTACAAAAAAGGAAAATATCAAAAAATACTAAACCAGCTATCTAGCAAAGTAAGATTCTCCTATAAAAAGAAACCCGTACCCAATATTAAACAGTTGGTATAATAGTGATTTAAGATGTTCATGTTACAAAAGGTTTAGCGATGCTCAAGTGATGAATGTGGTGGTAGTGATTATGGACTGACAAACCCATATGCTCCTCATTTTTGCTGTAAATTGTTCATTGCTGAACATAGACTTCCCCTATACAATAATGTCATAAAGAACATTTCTGAGCAGATGCATATGACATCAACAGACTCCCCGTAACATTTTTAAGGCTGTCGCTATATTAAATAGGAAATCGACCCTTATTGCGTATAAAAAAACAAAGCTCCTTACTGGATAGGCAGAAAAACCAAACGCTAAAGCTTGAATGAGTCTTCTAACTTTTATAAAATTATTGAAAAAAAAAGCAAGACTCGACTTAATTGAAGTCTAAAGTTTCTTGTCATTTTTTATCCGTCAACCTCAATAAAGAGAAGTTTGTTATGGGTTCGATTAAATTAATTTAGACAGTGACATTAAGGGTAGCGTATTAATTACATTGGCAATTATTTAAATGCGGATTACTAAGTCCCAATCGTGTTTCTGGCGCTGAGCAGCTGTACTTGCATTGTTTAAAAGGTGGAATATGTCAGAAAAATTACAGGGTTCGGAGGCATAACATCTTACTTCTCAGGAGTGGTAGTGGTAGTGATATTTTATGATAGTTTATGATGTCAAGTAACGATAGCCACGTTTCATCAGTTGGGCCTTCAGCTAATTTGCCATTCCATGTTAAATATGTATAATTAATACATATGTATAGTTTTGTAAATAAGAATTTTACCTTATAATGTCTACTACGTATATAGATATTTATAAACTTTCCTGGAAATATATGGTATATTTCCAGGGAAGTTTAAAAGTTTTTAAAGTAAGTTTAGTGTATAACGTCTGAGTCATTAAATCAATGTAGCAGTTCTAAACAAATTGCGAATATTGTGGAGAGAGAATTATATAATTATTTTAAAGCTATAAATAGGAACTTAGTACTACTTTTAATCGCACATTATCCAAAAAAATCTAATAAAATTGTGAAAGTGATTCTATCCGTCTGCACTGTTACACGCTCAATTTACTATCAATCAAAGCAATGACTGGAAAATTGACAGGAAAACCTAATGTCTAATGGGACCATTATATAGGGTATACCGTAGAGGACGTAGCAACTTGAAGCCTAGTATTTGAGAAATCTGAACAATTTTCCCCAAGGAACATGCCACTCAGTTTCATGAATATATTCAATATACATGTGAACATTTTTTTTATTTATTTTAAAAGAGCATCACTCCGAGTTTTTTGACAGTACTTTTCAGCTGACAGTGTATGCTGAACTAAACGATACGGTATAAAAATAACGTGCGTAAGTGGCAATTAAAAGATTATGATTTCTGGATTATTCCGATCAATCTTTCAATACGGACCATAAAGATTTCCAGTTTCTGGAGTGTGCCTAAATCTTCATAAAAAAATACAAATTCTTGGAAACTTTTTCCGTTTCAACGATTCTACCTTGATCTGATTATTTCGCTGGGATTTTTGGCTAGCGATAGCTCGGCCATCGGTTCCGGTACCGAAATATACTCGACGTAAACAGTGCGCGTTGCGCGCACGCACGACGCATCGCCGTCTTATCAGCGTGACGACCGGCAAGCACCCACCACATTGATCTAATGTTCCCGTGACTTCACTTTCGGACAACAGCCATAACTCTTCTCTTAGGAAACTTCTAACAACTCTCGGACAGGAACCTTAACTCTTCTTTATTTTACCTCCTGTCCAAGTGTTTTTCCATTTCTCCGATTCTGAAGCATTTATGAGGGAGATAACAAGACATATGCAGGCTGTCAAGGTGACCAAGAAAACTTGTCGTCATCCGCGTCGGTCTGTTTCTCCGCTTACATCTTCTAAATCACGCAACGGTTTTTGATACGACTCTCACTGTCATTTAGATATTTCTTTACACAGCACCTGTGTGAAGACGGGGAAAGTCGCTGGTTACATATACAAAGACATTTAGCTATTTGCGCCCATGGATACATCTGCGTGACTGCGCCTTATAGATTGACCGGGATAATAAGTAACTGTCTTTCTACATGCTATCTATATACACGCCAAATTGCATGACCCTTGGTAAAACCATTAATATTTTGGCGCCTTAACAAAAATTAAGTTTCATATATAGATGTGAAACTATATAGTATGCATAATAACTAAAACCAGTTCGTTGGTGCACATTTATGGAGAATAGTATTATACAGCCATTGTTAACATATACATATACGCTGTTAGGATCACCCTAACACAATTCCATCTTCAACCAATAAAAAATAAGCATCATTTGAAAATGGATGGATCAATTTGACAATTTTTTTTTATATTCGTAATAATCCAGTTAGGTTTACAAGAAAAAATAGTTGTAAATACAACCTCTATGGGGTTGGCTAGCTAGTTTAAAAGACTAGCAAGGACATATATTAGCTTATAAGGTAAAAATTAATAAGGGTTTATACTGTCCTCCAATGTACAGTTGACTGGAATGGATAAATCACACACACTCAGGTTTATTTAAAGATGTGTCAGTGATTCTTCCGCGGATATTCTCGTGTCGGATTCTATTACGCAGCAAGTGAACATACTGGAACTGATAATATTACCAACGGAAAATTTTAGATTGGGTACTACTGTCTCATTTTTGTAATGGTGCTACAAAGAAATTATTCTTGTTTATTGATTTATGAGTTTGAAGATTAAATTTTAAGTTGTTAAGCAGCTGGGCTGGCATCGTTGTTTTTTGGCATAAAGGAATAGCATATGGCAGTAAAATTAAAGGGTACTGAGGTATTTCATTCCTAAGCAACGCAGTCGCTTTCATCAAGGCGTTATATTGATTGCCATTCCAAAAAAAGATATAGCAATGAGTTTATTGAGGCATAACACAAAATATTAGGAATGGTAATACATGTGGGTTACTAGAAATGTAACAGTTCATTCTGTGACATCAATGGTTCATGTGTTAAGGTGACGGTTACCACTTTCTATCACAAGGAATGTGAGAAAGACTCTGTTTTCCGCGCTTAGCTTCTCATTTGGGCCGTTGTGGGTTCTATCACAAGGAGCTTCATTAGTTGACAATCTTGTTCGTATAAAAATACATAATCTCAGCAATGTAGCCATGTTTTAGGTATCTGCATTCGTAACCAGAGAAACTACCATTTAAAGTTAAAAATAGACGCGATATTTACTTATGTACGATGTTAATATGCTAATTAATTGCGAGACTGGCAGTTTTACAAAATGCGAAGCCCATTCCGATGTCAGTCATCGTGCGAAACATACAATAGTGTTTATACATATGTTAGTATTCAAGTTTTACTAATATAATACAATTGCAACTAGACGACGGAGATATTAAGAAAAATTTACGCGAGAGCTCCTAAGGGAGACTTTGTACAAAAGTCGATTGCTTGGGCACCTTTGTCCCATTCGTGTTTCAACCGTGAAGCAGTTGTGTTTGCATGGCTGTGTTTCGGTTTGAAGGGTGGGATATGGCGTGAATTTACAGGGTACAGAGGAATAACACCTGAGTCCTCAGGAATGGCAACGCATAGGGGGTATCACGGGCGAAACAGTATACTCTGTTATGTCCATGGTACTGCTCATGTCTATAGGCGACGGTTACCACTTTCCATCAGGTGGGCCGTCAGCTTGTTTGCTATTCTAAGTTGTATAAAATAATAATAATAATGAGCAATGGTAAAGCCAAAGTATTTTCCGAATCTTTGTCTGTATATATGTTTATTCCAGCATTACGTAAAAACTATTGCACTAAAAATAATGTGGTTTTTACAGTTGTATTCGTAAAGGTCTAACTTAAAATTTGGCGTATTTCTTATTTTGATACACCAATTAGAAGTAGTATTTTCTATTTATTTCCAAAATCCACGCATACGACG